ATAATCCAGTCATATCCCTGTACTTTCTTCATTCTAAGATAATCTGTCGATATTTCAAACCAACAGGTCAAAGGTCATTCAGACTCTGATACTGCTGACCGGTCCTTGGTACAAATCAGGTTGGGGACGACTGACATACATCACTTTTTTTTTCTTTTTTTTTTACAGAAGCTTCTACTGTAATTTCTCCATTTTCAATGTCGACCACATCACAAAACCAACCAGATAACATCGTTCGTAGAGCAAAAATACAAAAACACATCCCCTTAACAGCAGCTATTACAGTAACATCCCCTCATTTTAAACACTGTGATTCAGGCAGGCTGTCCACACAACGTATGAAGTCGTCTTTTCTGTCCTCAAAGGTTGTTTTTTATTTGACTGTGGAGCCAATTAGAGATTTTCTAATCAACGTCTTTACACCTGGGTGTCCAGTGTCATGGCAAAATGTTAGCATTTAGCAAATGCCAATTAGTGAGTGAGCGCACAGTGCACGAGGAGGGCTACTTGTCGACCTGTGAAAAGAACACAGGATACCTTCACTCTACATGGGTGGGGGCTGGAGGAGGAGGAGGAGGAGAGAAAGAGAAAGAGAGCATCAGCTTTCAAACAAAATGGCCATCTCAACTGCCCCCCCTCCCCACTTTAGCCCCAGAGGTCCCTCAGGTAAGTTTAAGAGACCCTGTCTCAATCGGCCCGCTCTGCTCTGAGAGGTCTGTACATCACAGTCAATGAATCCTGTCAGTTTTATTACCACCAGATAAAAGCAACGCTGCCAAACAAAACAATTGTGAAAAAGGGAAGACGCCGTGTGGACGGCCCCCTCCCCCCCCCCACCCCTCTGTGAACAGGAACATGCTTGATTGAGTTTGTTATCCAACAGGCGCGCTCCCCATCACTCAAAGCCTGACTCAACTTCTTTACACAAATCCTGAGTCTGGGCGTATGTGCAGCTGCTCACTTCAAGCTAAAGCCCTCATTTTAATTTCCCTCCTTTTGAACCCCACCCACGTGACGTCCAGCTTTGAGACGAGACATTACGAGAACTGTTTTATCCTGGCTTCATACGAAGAATCCCTTTCTACTTGTTCCTCCTGGGATTTGGGACTAAGTGGAATCAAACCCAGAACCTTTAGCTTGGCAGTCTGGGATCCTCCCACTGCACTAATCGAGTCCCGTAATTCCAATACACGACAATATGATGAGTCATATTTGAGACACACAACAGGAAATGTTTTACATATATAAATATATATATATGTAAAATTGATCTCCATAAGTGAATGATGTCTACATGCTCAGCTTCCTCCCTCCGTCCTTCTGCCTCTGCTTCATTTCCTCATCTGTCCATCACCATTTTACGTTCCTTTCCTAATAAGAAGTGGAGGCAGTGTAATCTTCTCCATTGTCCCGTGGGCCTCCCTTTTGCCCGGCAGCAGCAGATCAAGTCAGAGCAGCATCGGGCCAACAGACAGAAATTCACTCTCTTGTCACTATCAATCTCCGCCGCTGTTGACAATAATCCTGATTTGCCTTTCCCCTCGTTTTCACTCCCAAAGCTCCAGCGCCTCCTGCCTGCTTCAGGAAAACAAGGCCTCTCTGTAACAGTTACTGACAGTCAGACCTGTGGCTTCACCACCACCACAGCAGCTGGGATTTGAACAGCAGTGAAAGTGAAAATACTTTCCCAAATACAGGGGCTGAAACACAGTCCTAATCCAATCAGACGTGTGTCAGATGTTTTTGGTTTTTTACATTTTTTAGTCTGATCTGGTTGTGTTGCATTTCATCCGACTTTTACGTTTTTTACATTTTTTAGTCTGATCTGGTCGTGTTGCATTTCATCCGACTTTTACGTCACTAAAGTGGGACGTTTCAATTCTGAGTGGGGCAACGACCATGCACACACTGTAAACGGAGCTGGTCAGAGAAAACTACAACTCACATCTTAGACATGGCCGGGCTTCAACCCCAGAACTCTGCTCTTTGACGGACAAAGAAATACTGCACACCTGAAGTGATCTGTGCACGCGTGTCACTTCAGTCAGAGTCCATTCACAACAGCTTCAACAACAATGCAGAAAGCAAAAAAAATCCAGAAACATTTATTAATACCTTATGGAGTAGTAACATCTGTACAGTCTTCCATTCACAACCGGTCCTTCAGGGGGCACTGTAATGCTGATGTGGGCCCCCCCGTCCCCGGTGAAAATGAGTTTGACACCCCTGCTGCACTGGAGCGATGTAGGTACAGGAGGGAAATATAGTTATAAATGTAAGAAAAACACTTTAAATGTCAACATCGCCGCACTGTCTCGGTAAAGGGCTAAGTAAACCTCTGTGTCTCATAAGGAAGTCAACCATAAAAGCCATAAATAACATTGTGTCCTTTTGGCTGGCAAACGTAATTAGCTGATGTTCGTGTTTTAAAGGCCATTTCAATGAGTTGGTGTAAATACCACTGCTGCAACTTTTGTTGTGACCCTTAATTGTGGGAAGGCGGACGTAAGCGGCGTAATGAGCTGTGATAAAACGAAGGGCCGACGGCCTCGTCCTCCACGTCCATACAGTACTGGAGCCGAGGAGATGCAGTGCCCCCCCACCAGCCCACCCCCCCCGATCCTCCCATTGTAACAGCCAGTTGTAGCAGTCTGTCAGATTCCAGCTCCGTTGAAAACACTGTCAGGGGAATCACGGCGTTCAACCATGTAGACAGATGTTGAACGTACGAGATGTCAGAATCTCTTTGCTGTTGTATTTTTTCTGAAACCTATTAGGTTCTCCTCTGGGGAGCCGTTCAGTCCCTTTAGTGCAGAGCCGTCTAAGAGTATGAAATAACAAAACGTCTCATGTGCGGTGTGGTTTTTCACAGGTGTTCACTTGAGATTCATAAAACAAAAAGAGAAAAAAATAGCAACGCTGTTGTTATCGACATGCAGAAAGGGGCGACGCCCCGGGGGGGGGCTGTGTGTGTGTGTGTGTGTGTGTGTAGGATCAAATTCTGACCTCCCTCAAGTATTTCATGGGCCTATCTGACCACTGTGGTCTTTACTGTGCCCCCATTTATTGTGATTGTGTGGAGCTACTGAGGAGTTGGACCTATTAGGCGGGGGAGCTGCCATGGCTGTCCAGCTACCAATTACTGTAGCCTGCAGCCATGTACACCCCGGCCTGACGCATTTGGAGGTAGAGGTGGGGAGGGAGGGTAAGGGGGGGTGGAGTGATGCTGTGGGGAGGAGGGAGAGGGGTCCTCGGGAGACCTGCCACAACAGTGTGCCGTTAATCAATCCGATTTAGACCGGACAGGGACACACTTAGTCGCTGCTCCCGCCAACACTGACATGGTGTGTGTGTGTGTGTGTGCGTGACCTGCATCTTATTGGTGTGTAAGGACACGAAAAGATGGATAGATGGGTGCGGGATGAAGAGATAGAGATGGGGTGGCGAAATGGGAGAGTGATGATGGAATGGGCGTGAGGCGTGGAGAGAAGACAACAATTAATGGAGTGATGTGAGTTGAATAAAAACACAGGAAATGGATCGATTCACTGCTGCTTAAGGAGGTGGCTTAGAACGCTCACCTGTTCTAAATGGGGAACATGACTTTAAAGAAGTATATCAAGTCCAACTGGTATTAATATGTGATACATGCTGATGAATAAGCTCGTTATTCAACGCAGGAGGAGGGAAACAAATTACGTTTCTTTGGTTTCTTTTTGTTTTGACAATAACTGTGGCGTGAAGGAGCCGACGTCCGCGCAAGATGATGGACCACATCCTTAGTCAGACTCAGACTCAGAGCAGCAGACAAGGATGGAGTGAGGTTTCCATATTTGCATTCATTAATATGTATGCGCTTGTGTGCGTTATTTTCCACTATTAAATGGATTGTCTGCTTGAATAGTTGGTTACTTATCCAGTGATGGTGCAATTTATTATAAGGAGATTTGTGGGTGGAGAGGAAAAATAACTCTGGACTCGGAAGGGAAATAATTAAATTACAACATAATAAACAAGGATCTCACAGTTTTCTTTTTTTAGTCGATGGCTATCTAGAAAAATGTCTTCAGTCATGTACGAGGGTGGGTCAAAAACTTTAAAGCCATATATATATAATTATTGTTTTAATTATTATAATTCCAAAACATTTCAGATTTTTTACAATATGTTTTTAATATGTGAAGACGTCTTACGGGCGTCTGGGACAACTTTACGTCCATTTTCTTTTAAATCATGACCTCATTGTTCAACGTTGAGCTGTTTTGATTTGCAATCAATCCATCAACAAAACAATAGCAGGTGCAGGTTAGGAAACACTGCACACAGAAACGACTCAACCTGATTGGAGGAGACTCAGTACTCACAGGTGGATCAGGTGTTGAGGCGACTCTGGAAAGACGCTGAGAGTTACTAAGAAAGGTCACTTTCTCAGAGTGAAGCTGGAGGCCAAAGGTCAGCGCACATCTCATCCGTGTGTCCAGTGGACAGGAAGGCATCTGTGCTGATGTCCGTACCCTGAAACCACAGGAAGTTAAAATGGCACTGGTCACTTTTGGATGAACTGAAGAGAGAAGTTTAGGTCAGGATAAAAAAAGGAAATTTTCTGTTAGAACTGTTCTACTTTAAAATGACTTGGCGTATTAAACGAGGATACAATGATGTACCAATAATTCATCTTAATATTTTTTAAATTTATTTTTAAATAATAATTTAATTTTTAATTTATTTTTACTTAATTTCAATAATTTAGCTCTTTTTAACTCTTTCTTCAGTTTGATTCTTTTCTACATCTATTAACATTAACCTTTGCTTTTTGCTGTGCTTGAAAAATGTGAATAAAAGACAAACTAACCTAAAACTGTTAGCAGTTAGCATGCAAGTAGGTTATTATTTCAATAGAATGAGCAAATTGCTGCTTATTCCAAAAAAGACCCAATGACATCAAAATGTTTCCGTCCATCATCTTTGCTAACTAACACCTGTGTCTGTCTTCCTCTCAGGTTCGAGCCAGTGCAATCGCTCAGGATGCAGATCAGAACTACGACTATGCCTCCAACAGTGTCATCTTGCACCTGGATGTGGGTGACGAGGTGTGTGTGCAGCTGGACGGGGGCAAAGTCCACGGGGGCAACACCAATAAATACAGCACCTTCTCTGGCTTCCTCATCTACCCCGATTGAGAGAACGCTAACGTTTCACGTACTCTGCCTCTATTTTCTATTCCAGACTACAGTCCCCCCCCCACACACCCTTCAGCCGACCCCCCAGCATGACATACATCTAGAATGAAATTTCTCATTTCACTGCTGTTCAATAGACAAAACATAAAATAACAGAACAACCACCGATAGAAAATAGAGTTTAAAGAGAGAATTGTGTAAAATACATATAGTACTGTACAGTATGTAGTAGCAGCGTACTTCTTTTATTTCAGATACACATACTGTGTACTCTGTCCTGTGTGTGTGTTAGCATGGCACAAAACACAACACAATTAGCATCTGTTTCTCATGCACACATTGTTATGTACCGGCACACGCAGGTGTAAATGCACCAATTAAACTAATCACACTGGTTTTCTACCAATGAGAAGAGAGACGGTGCTTTAAAACGGACTAAGACCATTTGAGCCCAAATCAAAGTGTGTGTATTTGGCTCCAGTCTCGCCTTTGTGCGATGGTTTTTCAATACGGACACAGAAACTAAAAGAAAAAAAAAATGAACATATTGATCCAAAGTGTTAATGCTGCCAACACGTGATCGTAATCACTCTGGTTTTAGGGCTTGTGTGCAACAGTCTGCCTGTGTTTCCTCCTCACTTTGTGTTCAGGATTTAATCACGTCACTCCGCTGCCAGCCTAGAATGTGCAGGTTCTAAGTCCTGTTGAGATAATGGTTGTCAGGTTGTCAAAGAAAGTCCCTTAACACACACACACACACAGACACACACACACAGCGTATCAATACTGAGGTTCAGCTTGGAGATTTCCTCTGAGCCGGAGCTTATGACAGAGCCTCATCATGTTCTACTAATGAGCTGAGGATTTTCTCTGTTCAGACACACAAACATCGTGGAAACCTGCTCAGTTGCTTTCTTTGAAACAAGTTGAAGACTGTGGATATAATGTTTCTGTTTGACATTTAAAAAAGTGACTTGTTTTTGATGCGTCTGTTGCC